CTATCATGGGTTACAAAAAAAAAAAATTCGATCATGGATTACAAAAAAAAAAAGAAACAATTCGCTCATGGATTACAAAAAAATCGATCAAGTATTACAAAAAACTCTATCATGGATTACAACAAAAAAAAAAAAAAAAATTCCGTACGGGACTTGCCGATTCACTGTACAGACTCGCCAATTCCGTACATTGAATCGGCGAGTCACTGTACAGAATCGTCCGGTTCTCTCTAGAACCGGACAATTCCCGTTTTTTTTACCGATTCGATCCGTCCATGGCGATTCCCGAATCAAACCGGGCGAGTCCGGTTCGACTCGGCATTTTTTTAAACACTGCTTTTGACTATAAAAATTAGCCCCCAACAAATTTTTTTTATCATTTCAACTCAAAAAACTTTTTTATCATCTTTTTCTCTTTCCACCCATTAAAAAATATTTTTGTGTTAAAATAGTATTAAAAAAATTTTCGAGGTTAATTTTTATGGTCAAAAAATCAATAAAAAAAATAAAATTATGAGACGACGGGATATGATAAAATCCTCCTAAAGATTTCCTTACACTAATTTTGTTGAAAGAAAAAGATAAAAAAAATCTACATAAACTTTTTCCCAATAACCTTCTCCCACATTATTCTTTTCAACTTTTCTCCGAAACAACGAGTAGGCCGCTCCATCATTGCCGTCGTTGGGGGAATTAACGAGCACCATCGTTTTCACCCACAGTTGTCAACTCCCTTGGGGTGGATTGCGAAAAACATGTGGCCCAAAATAGGTCGATAAGATGACGACCCCCAGTTCCCAGATTACAGCACTTGTGGCCCTGTGAGTCTAACCCTCGGCTCGGAAACGAGGGGTAGGGGGGACGAACCGCTCTCCCCCACCACCAACCAGTTTTCTACACCCCCTCTCTCCTTTCTATGCAACAATGGACCACAGATGACACGTACAACGTACTGAAAATAATAACTCCTTTTTTTCCAAAGTCCTGACTCTCACGATACATACGTTGAACCCTAGGCTAAAAAAGGGGTTTGAGAGACGCCTTCCCTGTGCTTGGTGAATGAACGAGACCCTCTCTGTCTTCTAATGGCTTTCGGCGGATCTTTTTCGGGTTCGTCTCTCCTCCACGACATTTGGCTCTGCAACCTGCGTTCACGCCTCTTGTTACTGCCGTGCTGGTGCCATGTTTAGTGCTTCCGTCTCTTTATATATGGTGGTTTTCTCCATTACCGATTTCAAAATGTTGAGAAATAAGGAACTGCGTGAGTTTGCTTTCACAGGAGACAGTGCCTTCCGGAAAGATCTCTCAAATAAACGTAAGGCTCTTGATTTTAAGGTCGATGATGGAGTGCAATTAGTTGGTGCGAATAGGGGAAAGAAGAAGAACGAAGAAAATGAAAAACCAAGATCCAATGGAGAAACCAGCGATAGCACCGATCTCATCGGACGGCTCCCAGACGATTGCCTCACAGAGATATTCCGCTTCCTCCCCGTCCCACTAGACCACTCCCTATGCGCCATGGTTTCCAAGAAATGGCTCCTCTTACAAGCTCAGATGCATGCCTTTCGGTTCACACCCACCATGCACGAGCCCACTGTAAATGCGATGGTGACCACCTATGATGTGCTCGAGCCGTGGCTTAGCTATGAGCTCGGTGAACGACCGGGCTACTTAACCCGGCGATTGGAGGGCAAGAAAGCAACAGATACTCGCCTCGCTGCCATAGCAGTGGGAACACAAGCTCGTGGTGGTCTGGGTCGCCTTTGCATACGCGGTGGCCGGCCATCGGATGCCGGACTTCGGCTCATTGCTCTTTCATGCCCAGGCCTCGAAAGCCTATCTCTTTGGGAATGTGGCTCTATTGGGGATGCGGGATTGGAGGCCATTGCCATGGGTTGCACGCTTCTGAGGAAGCTAGACCTTCGTAACTGCCCACTTGTTACAGATAAAGGCCTTGTGGCCATTGCAAAGACAAGCTCTAATCTGTCCAGCTTGACATTGGAGGCGTGCCCTAATGTTGGTGATCCAGCCCTCGAAGCCACCAGTAAGTGCTCAAATAATATCAAATCGCTCTCGCTGAATAATTGCCCATGCATTGGAGATGAAGGGCTACGCTCCATGGTTTCCAGGCTCCAGAAGCTCAAGAAACTAAAATTAACTCGACTGAAACTGAGTGATAAAGCCTTCGAAGCCATTGCCAAGTATTGCAGCTCCTTAACCAGCTTGACTCTGACGGGCATTTTGGGAATCCATGAAAGTTCGTTCCTTGCAATTGGGCGAGGGTGCCTAAATTTGGAGAGTGTCACTATAAATTACTGCCCGCCGCTAGACGATAGCGGTCTATGGGGCCTGACGCAAACCTCTAGTTGCATCAAAACAGTGCGGATCGAGGGATGCGACACCGTTACTTGGGGTGGCGCCGCCGCTCTCCTCTCCAATCTCCACCACACCATCAGATTCTTGTCCATTTCTCGGTGCAACGGAATAAAAGACCCCCCTCCTAGAGCCCCAAAATTACCTTTTTGCCCCAGGCTCCTCTCCTTGGCCATACGAAACTGTACGGCCCTTGGGGACAGCTTCCTCTCATGGATTCGAGACGCGTCTCCGGCAATAAAGCGTCTAGATTTAACAGGGCTAACCATGGTGACCAACCTGGGGATCATGGCTTTATTGGATGTGAGGAAGGAGGTGTGGACGGAGGTGAGCTTAAGTGGGTGCGCGCGGGTCTCGGATGACTCGGTCGTGGCTCTGTGCAATGGCTGTGGCGGTGGGATCAGGACGTTGAGCCTAGACGGGTGCGTCCAAGTTGGTGATGCTAGCCTAGAAGCGATAGCGAGGTTATGCACCTGCATCAACGATCTAGACCTGTCCCAATGTGCGGTTAGTGACCTGGGGCTAGAGTTTTTGGCACGAATGGGTTGCACGAGTCTGAGGATTTTCTCTCTTTCGGGGTGTTCGCGAATAAGCAATGGGTGCATGTCTTTTCTCAAGGAAGTGGGCGCGGGCTTGGTGGGATTGAATTTGATGCATTGTGGTGGCTTGAGCCGTATGGCCATAGAGAGGCTCAAGGGGAGTCTCTCGAAATGCGATATAGCATCATAGAAATATATGCTCAGAAAGTTTTTGGAAAGTTCCAAAAAGATGTGGTAAGGTCCTCAAATTGCCTTAGCAAATTAATAGAAGGCAATGATCAATTTGCCAAATATAAGGGGAAAGACATTCATGGTGTGCCTATCCCTCAGACGGTTACATTCATTGAATCAGGGATGAAGTATATATGCACATGCCAATTCTTTGAGCGTGTTGGAATCCCTTGTTCACATATGCTTAAAGTGTTCAACGTGAGAAATGTATTGAAGATTCCATCTAACTACATTTTGAGTCGGTGGACAATGGAGGCGAAGAAGGGGGTCAACGACAAATGTGGTGGTATTAGTTCGACTTCATCTAAATTTCTGAGGTTTATTCGACATCATGAGATTTATGACATTGTGAGAACAATTATTGAACCAGCATTAGAAAGGGATGTTTTATTTGAAAAAGTGAAGTTGGGTTTATGCAAATTAACTTAATATGTCAATGCAACAAGAGAGCATTTGTCGAATATTCTTGCACCATCACCCTCCACTCATTACAGTGTCATTGAAGATGAAGTACATAGCTACAATAGATCAGTTGATGCCTCCCCCCTTGTACTTGATCCACCATGTGCACGAGCAGTTGGATGACCAATGACTAAAAGGAGAAAACCTTCATAGGAGAAAGGGCAAAAGGCTTCTATGCAAAAACAAAGTCGAAGGAAAGGCCACCTACTGGAAGGAAGTGTAAAGTTTGCAATAAAAACAAAACAAAATATATATATATATATATATATATATATATATGTGTGTGTGTGTGTGTGTGCGTGTGTGGAAAAGTCTTCCCAACGCCTATAGACAATAGGGAACAGTGATCTCGCCCCACTACCATCGACCATCCGTTTAATTTTGAGGAAACTCACGATTGTGATCGACTCAAGACCAAATCTTGCAGCAAAGCAAAAAGCTTCAAACCGATAAAATTTTACCCCATACCCCTCTCCTCTAACGTTCTCTGCTAACCTGCCATGTCTCAAATTTCAGGGGCTCGCCTTCCTCTCCCCAAGCCACGCTCTCCTTCTCTCTATCTAAACTCCAACGTGTAAGCACCTTCCTTCATTCTCTTTCGTCTTTCCTGTGCTCTCCATTGAGTTTTTTTTTTATGTGAGAATATGTGTGTATCCATGGTTTTTGGAGAATGTTTCTGTTTGTGAGCAGTTTGTCAACGTTTCTTTAAAAGCAAGCTAGGATTGAACATATCTGTTAACTAGTTAGAAATTGTTTTGTGAAGTCTAAAAGCTTTCAGATAGTTCTTGTTATTTTTTCATCATTTAATTGAACATCTAAGTCACTGCTTTTGTGCCAATCCTTATGAAGGCCTCTAACAAGTAACAACTTGCCTCCAAAATGGTTGGCATCCACATTTTCTAGCTCCGCTATGTTTGAAATTTTACTTTCAGAATTGTTTCGTACTTATAAGCTGGAGTTACACCATGAAGAAAGCAGATGTCTTTGATACTCTACTAAAAGAATGATTATGTTAATTACCTTTTTATGTTCAAAATACATATGCTCCATAGGGATCTCTAGTGCATTCTTCACTGTATAGTGACTTCAGCTTGTTGGTCCTATATGGAAAAGTCTTTCCAATGCCTATAGGCAATTGGAAATAGTGATCTCGCCAGACTACCATCGACAGTTTGTTTAATTTTGGCGAAGCTCGTAGTTGTGATTGGCTCGAAACCAAATCGCGTTAAGAGAAATATACTTTCCAATGCTACAGTTGCATGATCACAAGCATTCTTAATAATCACTTTTAATGGTATTATTGTTCATTAGGGGTTGTCAATTAAGCCCATATTAATAATTACACATATTACTTTGACATTTGCTACTAATAGAAATATACTACATGAAACTAATGGTATATGGGCAAGTTCTTGCTAGGAGTCATCATCTCTTGTTGAAATCTTGGTTATTTGTGTTGCATTAGACTCAGAAATCTATATCTAGAAGCACCAGAAACATCATAGAAGGGCATGATTGAGCTAATATGCAGCTGCTTGAATTTATAGTTTTGAAGCATCAAAGTTATTCTTTTATGCAGATACACAACACCAATTTAATACCCGAGAAAATGATTGGGGCTTCACATCATTTATGCTTCGTAGTGCTCTATATGACCCGAACAAAGGGTATCTTGTTAATGATACAATAGTTTTGGAAGTAGAAGTTGTAGTGTTGGTTGTACAACTCTAAGAAAGAAACTGTTTATGTTGGGCTTAAAAACCATGGAGCAAATTGTTACATGACTTCTCTTCTTCAAACTCTCTATCACATGCATGATGCTCACTTCCATTCCCTTATTTTTCTTCTCTTTTAAGACATGTACTTCTCAGTGCATGTAAGAATATTGATGTGTATCATGACAATTATATAATGATTTGTTTTGTCTATTGATAGTTATGAGGTTGTCAAGCAACATTGAGGTGGAAAAGGGTTTTGTTAGGAACTACAACAGATCGTGCACGTTGTGCCGATGCCAACTACGATATTCTCCTAACGCCATTGCTGGGTGTAACAGACTGGAGATTTCTCCCTATTTTTTATTTTTTTCATGAAATGGGTAAATGGTGGTGCAGATCAAGAATCATTAATACTTACTAGGTTTTCTCATTCTTCTTATTTGTAGCCATACTTTGTCAATTTATGTTGTTATGAATGAAAAATTCAACATTGCTTGTGCTAAAAAAACTGTTGTTCAATAAAGGGACACATCTTTGAGTCTTGATGACCTTTGGTAGTATTTCTTCACTCTATGAGGTTTGGAGCGTTTCAAAATGTATCATTCTTGCGCATGCACCACACTACTTTTTATTTTTTTGAACTATGCTGATGGTGGATGGACCTCACTAATTTTATTTACCTTGTTTGTTATGATACTAGAAATATGCATCTAGCAGTCCTACACCTTTGTATACTTCATCTATGAACTTCATAGATTCATATATTCCATTATGCATCATATTGCAATTGTTACATAATAATTGGAATTTATAGTTTCCGAAGCATCTAAATTATTCTTTTATGCAGATACACGACACTAATTTAATGCTCGAGAAAGTGATTGGGGCTTCACATCATTTATGCCTCGCAGTACACTATATGACCCAAACAAAGGGTAACATGTTATTGATACAATAGTAGTGGAAACAGAAGATGCAGTGTGTAGAGTTGCTGACTTCTGGTTATGCAACTCTAAGAAAGAATTGGTTATGTTGGGCTTAAAAACCAAGGAGCAACTTGTTACATGACTTCTCTTCTTCAAACTCTCTATCACATTCCTGATGCTCACTTCCATTCCTTCCATCTGTTGTCGACAAATACATGAAGATAGTACATGTCACATGTCAGTCCCATTCTCAGAGATCAATAAGACTTTTGAATACATGCTCAAAGGGATGGCCTTTGCTACGTCATTTGAATGGAAGAGTGAAACTTGAAGAAGCAAAAAGAAATAAATTGCTTGTTGGTTGTTGAGTCAACTCAATTGGGTTACCGTTTTTGAAGATTAATTTGTATCGGGTTTTTTCCTATTTCATGAGGTATTTAACATCCTTGTATCTTTCCAGTGGCTTGTAAATGATTGTAATTGGTCGTTGTTTAATTAATGATAATCTTTTGTGAATGAAATTCTCTGATTTCTGGTATATTCAATTTGTCTTTTTTGTTTTTTTTTTAGACACACAAATAAACACACACACACACACACAGATCGATCTAGTTATCAGCTACAATGAAACAACATAAGCCCATTTATTTGGTTGAGACAAGATAAAGAGAGAGATCATTCAAATCCGAGATCTATGAAAATTAGAAACATACTAATACTCACCCTAAGTCATCAGTGCAATAAAATTTTTATGAATGTAGCAAACACTCAATGTACCAAATAAAGTGGGAATTATCTGGATCTAAATGCATTTCACTATCCATGTAAACCCACATTGCATATATAAATACTACACATAAAAAAATAAGGCTTTTACAAAAAAGCACTTTACATGCCCCATAAATAGGTCACATCCAAGTAAGACCACATTTCATTATAAATGGATTCCACTATCCATAAATCGGTCCTTAACATGATCCCAAAAATAGGTCCTTTACATGACCCCATAATTAGGTTATTTACATGCCCCCATAAATAGGTCATTTACATGCCCCATAAATAGGTCCTTTATATGGCCCCAAAATTATATGACTATTCAATATTCACATAACCTCGAAAGTTAATTGCAAAAAGGGTTATTTACATATCTCCAAAATTTCAAAAATTAGTCAATACAAAAAATCATTTATGCATATGTGCAAATGAAACCCTGCAAGTTGTCATATCCTCCATGCGAGTGCAATCCCACAATTTGTTATATCCTCCATGCAATTGCAACCCTTTTGTTTTCATGGCTTCAATTCGATTCGAGGTCCTCAGTGGCTCTGGAAGAGAAAGATGTATTGTTAGTCTAATACATAAAGCATAAGATAAGTGAAAACTCAAACTAAATAAAGATAATTACGCTTATTATGTCCAAAACATAAAGCAGACAAACACTTACATCTCACTCACCCTCACCGGAGAATTACGTCTGTCATTCCCACTCTTATTTTTGGCTTGAAGTAAGCAATTTTCATTAAAAAAATTTGAAAGATACAAAGGGTGGTTAACATTGTAATTGAGTAGTGGAAAAACAATATCAGATATTATTGCCTACGGCATATCTATTAGCGATGAGGACTAAAGTCATGACCAACTCACTCCCTGATCAATCTATAAGACAATTATATATAACGGACATTGTTTTTCAACACCTTTTATTATGGTAAAAAATTTAAGTCAGGCAGTCATACTTGGAATTCCATTCCTAACATTACTCTATCCCATAACAATTAATAATACATGTATTGAAACATCTAGAAAAGGACAAACAATCAAATTTGAATTTTTAGAAAAACCAAAGCTCAAAG